GCACTTGATCAAATTGCGTGGACTTGAAATCTAGTCCAGTCCTCGGTTTCGCCTCGCACTTGATCAAATTGCGCGGACTTGAAATCTAGTCCAGTCCTCGGTTTCGCCTCGCACTTGATCAAATTGCGTGGACTTGAAATCTAGTCCAGTCCTCTGTTTCGCCTCGCACTTGATCAAATTGCGTGGACTTGAAATCTAGTCCAGTCCTCGGTTTCGCCTCGCACTTGATCAAATTGCGTGGACTTGAAATCTAGTCCAGTCCTCTGTTTCGCCTCGCACTTGATCAAATTGCGTGGACTTGAAATCTAGTCCAGTCCTCGGTTTCGCCTCGCACTTGATCAAATTGCGTGGACTTGAAATCTAGTCCAGTCCTCGGTTTCGCCTCGCACTTGATCAAATTGCGTGGACTTGAAATCTAGTCCAGTCCTCGGTTTCGCCTCGCACTTGATCAAATTGCGTGGACTTGAAATCTAGTCCAGTCCTCGGTTTCGCCTCGCACTTGATCAAATTGCGTGGACTTGAAATCTAGTCCAGTCCTCTGTTTCGCCTCGCACTTGATCAAATTGCGCGGACTTGAAATCTAGTCCAGTCCTCGGTTTCGCCTCGCACTTGATCAAATTGCGTGGACTTGAAATCTAGTCCAGTCCTCGGTTTCGCCTCGCACTTGATCAAATTGCGCGGACTTGAAATCTAGTCCAGTCCTCGGTTTCGCCTCGCACTTGATCAAATTGCGTGGACTTGAAATCTAGTCCAGTCCTCGGTTTCGCCTCGCACTTGATCAAATTGCGTGGACTTGATATCTAGTCCAGTCCTCTGTTTCGCCTCGCACTTGATCAAATTGCGCGGACTTGAAATCTAGTCCAGTCCTCTGTTTCGCCTCGCACTTGATCAAATTGCGCGGACTTGAAATCTAGTCCAGTCCTCTGTTTCGCCTCGCACTTGATCAAATTACGTGGACTTGAAATCTAGTCCAGTCCTCGGTTTCGCCTCGCACTTGATCAAATTGCGTGGACTTGAAATCTAGTCCAGTCCTCTGTTTCGCCTCGCACTTGATCAAATTACGTGGACTTGAAATCTAGTCCAGTCCTCGGTTTCGCCTCGCACTTGATCAAATTGCGTGGACTTGAAATCTAGTCCAGTCCTCTGTTTCGCCTCGCACTTGATCAAATTGCGTGGACTTGAAATCTAGTCCAGTCCTCGGTTTCGCCTCGCACTTGATCAAATTGCGTGGACTTGAAATCTAGTCCAGTCCTCGGTTTCGCCTCGCACTTGATCAAATTGCGTGGACTTGAAATCTAGTCCAGTCCTCTGTTTCGCCTCGCACTTGATCAAATTGCGTGGACTTGAAATCTAGTCCAGTCCTCGGTTTCGCCTCGCACTTGATCAAATTGCGTGGACTTGAAATCTAGTCCAGTCCTCGGTTTCGCCTCGCACTTGATCAAATTGCGTGGACTTGAAATCTAGTCCAGTCCTCTGTTTCGCCTCGCACTTGATCAAATTGCGCGGACTTGAAATATAGTCCAGTCCTCGGTTTCGCCTCGCACTTGATCAAATTGCGTGGACTTGAAATCTAGTCCAGTCCTCCGTGTCGCCTCGCACTTGATCAAATTGCGTGGACTTGAAATCTAGTCCAGTCCTCGGTTTCGCCTCGCACTTGATCAAATTGCGTGGACTTGAAATCTAGTCCAGTCCTCGGTTTCGCCTCGCACTTGATCAAATTGCGTGGACTTGAAATCTAGTCCAGTCCTCTGTTTCGCCTCGCACTTGATCAAATTGCGTGGACTTGAAATCTAGTCCAGTCCTCGGTTTCGCCTCGCACTTGATCAAATTGCGTGGACTTGAAATCTAGTCCAGTCCTCTGTTTCGCCTCGCACTTGATCAAATTACGTGGACTTGAAATCTAGTCCAGTCCTCGGTTTCGCCTCGCACTTGATCAAATTGCGTGGACTTGAAATCTAGTCCAGTCCTCGGTTTCGCCTCGCACTTGATCAAATTGCGTGGACTTGATATCTAGTCCAGTCCTCTGTTTCGCCTCGCACTTGATCAAATTGCGCGGACTTGAAATCTAGTCCAGTCCTCTGTTTCGCCTCGCACTTGATCAAATTGCGCGGACTTGATATCTAGTCCAGTCCTCGGTTTCGCCTCGCACTTGATCAAATTGCGCGGACTTGATATCTAGTCCAGTCCTCATAGTCGGATTTGAAATATTACACCACTGCATTAATTGTAATAATACTACAATTTTGAAATTTTGTGGTATTATATATACTTTATCCACAACTCACAGTTAATTCATCACCTTTGTAGTGGTTGTGAACAATTTTGTTTTTAAAATCCAAGACTGCAATTGTGATCATGAGCTAGCTACACAAGTATATTAGATCATGAGCTAGCTACACAAGTATATTAGATCATGAGCTAGCTACACAAGTACATTTATTTAGATCATGAGCTCAGGGCCTCTTTAACATATAGACTGGGGAGGACATGTCTCCCCCAGCCCTCTCACTGGCCCCTCCAGTCGGCAATTTTATCCCCCCCCCCCCCCCACCCCATCCCCCAGTGAGGTCCCTAAGAACTACCTGCAGTAGGTGGTCAAACAGCAACCTAAACCATGGCTGAAATAATTTGCTCGTGGAACAAGGCATGAAATGGCATTTTAGGACGAAATTCTAGTTTAGTTTTTCCAAGCAAAGATACTCCAAAGAGACCAACCTATCTTGCTCTTCAGTGACACTGAGAAGACGAATGCGTTGATGTCAAGTACCCCAATACATGTAATACAGTACTGTAGAATTTGAAGTGTGGTGAATGATAATACTATACCACGCACATTTTCATTACCGCATCATCACACCATGTTGCCTTATTGGGACTGCATTACATTTGGGAGACAGTGAAATTGCAGTAATTGTGTCACTGTTTATAAGGTTAATTTCTTGTTGGAAAACTCCTCAAAATGCTGGAAATAGCTTATATGAGCTTCAAGAAATCCAAACTTTTCTGGGGGCATGCCCCCGGACCCCTATAGCATATATGTCCAATATAGCCATCGGTTGTCAGGTGGTGAAGATGGTGTAAGATGGTGTCAGATGGTCACCATTATACACCATCTGACAACCATCTGACACACTTCGACCATCATACACCATCATACACCATCTTCACCATCAGACATCAGATGCCTGTATTGGACATTACTCCCCTATAGAGGCTCGCGCCTTCGGTGGTCGACTCGTTTGTCTCAGAATCCTAGTAACGGCCTGATCTGCTGTCCTATGACGTATACTTATTAGTTAAACCATGCATATATATGCTCGTAGTTGCAGTGATACAGACTTGCCGACTGGAACTTCTCCAGGTCCCCCGCTAAATCTGTCCCCTCCAGTTACACATCCTTAAAAGAGGCCCTGCATGAGCTAGCCACACAAGTATATTAGGGGCTATTCATCTAAGCCGAGATGAATCGTGTCAATGAACAGGATCGTTTGAATGAACTTTATACTGGTATTGGAATCAAACTACTGTAAGCTAATTCATCTTTAAGATGTCATTTTCATTTTGGATATTTACCAAAGCCATGATAATGGCTTTGTTAAACGAATCATCCTGGTTTAACCGGGCCAGCCCAGCTCCATATGAACAACCCTTTAGTTGCAAAAATATTCCAACTGTTTTGTAAACATGTGTGATATAAAACTTCTGTGATCATTCTGACTCGATAAGATTGGGAAAAGGAGGAACTGTGCAATGGCATTCAACATTATATCCTATCGTGTAGAGCTGTAAAGGTGTAAGCAAACTTTGATACGATGTTGCAGAAACTGAAATGTTTTAAAATATTTCCCATGATTATGCGTCCCATCGTTGCGAAAATGAAGTACTGGCAAATATTTCTGACAAGTTTTTCCTGGTACCCCCAGAATAACTGACCGAGATTGCCCTGAGTAAATCAAAGAAATTGTGTTTGTATTTCACTGATTTTAGGCTGTATGTGAAAAACTGAAAGATGAGGAGCTTACTGGAGATGCATTATTGAAAGCATTATTCAATGCTGCTTCTGTGTATTACAATTATACTGGTCATGCCAAATGTTTTGATATTGAACAGCAAGCTACTAAAGATTTGGGAGATAAAGGATGGAGTTTTCAAGTAGGTTTCGTTTGTTGTTTTCAGTAATATTGTGATTTTCTTGGCTGGTTAACGAGCTACCGTTTCCATCTCGAGCCACCTTTTTACCTCCATCACCAAATCTGCAAACCTTGTTATTTACATGGTATTATGATTTATAAGCGTTAAAATAATCGTCCTTGGGGTTCAATTAAGTTTTGCAAGGGGGATTATTAATTAAGTAAATGAGTATATTTTAACGGGAGAGGGGGTTATTTGAAAAGATACAGTAAGGTTTGGGTTTAGAAGCGATGTCCTACTCCTTCGTAACCACAATCAGAATATTTATTTGCATGAAAATACATTTAGGTGTTCAGATCTGCTGGCACATATGCTCACTTTCAGGTCCATATATAGACGCTGAAATTGTGTTTATATCGCTTCTGAAGCCAAACCATTGCCATCAATATAATTTATTTTGGAATAAATGGAGTTGGTTTGCAGAAGAGCAAACCAGAATTCATCAACTATGTTACTATTTTTCTTCAATTAAGGCTTGTACCGAGATGGTTATGCCACTTTGTGCTGATGGAGAAGAAGATATGTTTTATCCATTCGACGTAAGTTATTTTTCTAGTGCATAAATATAAGGTTGATTAGGTTCTAACTTAACGTGTTGATCATGTAAAGGCTGGTTCACATTATCAAAGTTTTTGTGATCACAGTACTGAAGGAATTTTGCATGGGCAAATTCTAAGTTTCAAAGGATTTGTAAGAAATCTTTGATGGACACTATCAACGTTTTTCTGATCACAGTACTGAAGAAATTTTGCATGGACAAATTCTAAGTTTCAGAGGATTTGTAAGAAATGTTTGCAGGCCTTAAAATATCTTTTACAGGGCCGTCTGACAAAATGTCCGATGGTGTTGAGTTTGGGTCGGAGATATGTCCGATGACCTTCATTTCAGTTCTGACTCGGAAATAAGTCTGAATGACACAAATGAATATCAGCACAATGTATTAATTCTGAACGGTAAATATTGTGAAAATATTAAACAATTTGTTTCTTTCATACTCATTTCCAAGCCAAAATTAACTTGCTTGCCAGAACAGCAGTATTAAAAAAAACTTCGACAACTTAAGCCCGTTTTCCACTTCACCATTTCGCTCGCCACCCCGCGCTCGACTACGTTAAAACAACATTTCCAGTTCACCTTTTATACAATAGTACTCTGATTCTCTATTTAACATACGAGCCTCTAGTCCTGGACTAAGGTACATTTTGATTTACGTTGGACAAAGCTGCAGTTTGGTCAGACACCAATACACTCGGGTCGGACAAACAATAAACCTCAGTTTCACTTAGGTCGGACAGAATGTCCGGTGGTTTCCTCTCTACGTCCGACAATTTCACGAATGGGTCGGACAATGTCCGTGACCGACTGATATTTTAAGGCCTGAATGTTTGGCGGAACTGGCTCAGTTTTTTTACAGATCCTTCAAAACTTAGAATTACCTATTCAAAATCTCTGCTGTAATCACAGAAACTTTGACAGAATGAACAAGCCTTAATTGTTAGTTTCCATCGTGGGAGAAATTTGAACTTGCATGAAGAATTACATGGTGAAACACGTATCCCCATGACTTAAGACGCCATTGTGATATAAACCTAGGAGAATAATTTGAATCATCTTTCTTTCAAAATCTTTGTGTTTCGTAGTGGAATTTCCCAGCTTATGCGAAGGGATGTGAAGAATGGTGGAAAGTTATGCCAAGACAGTATTGGGTTGAAGTCCAGTATGGAGGAAGGAAGATTTCGTCTCATAGTAACATTGTATTCAGGTAATAATACACGCTTCCGGGAAGAACGTCACCATGGCTATAGAGCCTCGTTCTCATGATTGAGACGTTGGTCTTTACCTACTAGAGAGTTTAATATCTACAACGCGGCCAGCTCAACGACGCGCTTTCGAAACAAAGAAATTTGTCATGTAAGACAAAAACAGTGAATAATTTGTTGTCCCAGGGGTATTCTCAACGGCTTTGTCATTCTCAACCCAACATTAAACTAAGCATTATTGCGACCCAAGAGGTGTTACGTAAAATCGAAATTACAGCAAACGTTGCATCGCTTTAGCCGAATTTAGCCGTTTGGGGTCATCATCTGCCTATACTACCTCTTTACCCGGGTTTGTAAGATTATTTGAGAAAACTTCAAACATTTATTACTTATAATAATCCAATTGCTTTGGGGTCAATGGCTCATTCTTGAACTGAAATTCAGACAGCGTCGTAGATCTTAAACTCTCTACTGTCACATATACGAAATTAAAGCTCTACAGCCAAAGTGACGCGCTTTCCGGAACGGTGTATTATACAGATAGCAATACAACACTAGCACTTGACACTTTACTGTTTCTTCTTTCATGCCAGTCTTTTTCTACGCGATAAAAACTTTATACAGTGACTCTACTAGTGCGAGAGAGTCCCTGAGTTTTTTCACTGCCATCACTTTGTCCGCGAGGGATGAGCGAACTTATTTGAACCCATGCCATTTCCGCTTTCTTGTTGGCAAACACGTCATGATTGTTGATTCAATTTCCAAATGTATTTTTAAAATCAAATTGTCATGTGGGGATATTGATGGTGGTACTAGGTTTCAACTTACCCATGTAAAAAGTCTTACATTTGGTTCACACTGCAGGAAGTTTTTGTTTTTGGATTTTGCTGCCAGGAAGAAAATTTTCTCGGCCTGGACATAACTAACGTCATTTTCCCTATATAACCTGCAGTAATGGTAACCTGGATCCGTGGTCCGGTGGAGGAGTAACAAAAAGTATTTCAGATTCATTGATTGCTGTTATGATTAAAGATGGCGCCCATCATCTTGACCTACGTCATAAGAACAGTGGTGACCCGCAGTCTGTGATTGATGCTCGGAAGCTCGAGAAGAAATATATGAAACAATGGATCATGCAATGGAAGAAAACCAAATCAAACACAGCGTCAGTGCTTGATCTGCTATAAAATTTGATTTAGTGCGTAAAGAGAATATAGATAAAGATATATTGCTAAAGTAAAGAAAAAGAATAAACCCTAATGCGTCTCTCGTGCTGATGAAGTTAATTTGGTAGTTAATTACTTGAAGCAAAACTTTTTCATTTCCACTGCTCTTGATCAGCAGGCTCTCATCTTGACGTGGAAATTTTATACGAATATTAGAAATTATTAGAAAGTAAAGAATTTGCTGAATATTAGAAATTATGAGTAAAGAATTTGTAGTATAAATTTTAGCGTATGAAATATGTGCAATTCAGTTTTGTCTAAAAATAAAGAACTATCAAATAAGGCGTGGATTTCAATTGGACATTTCGTTCAGTTTCGGTCGCGTGTCATTTTTGTGTTCTGCATCATATTTTGTATTGCGTCTGTGAATCTTGTATTTAAAAGTACATCAAAACTCAAACACAAACTTTTCCGTTAATCTCAAAGACGTTGAAATGATCAGCATATTTTAGCCCAAAGCACTTTAAAACAATCGAAAGCCCTGCGCCCCCCTCGCAAAGCGCGAAAAAGGAAGAAATATGTAACGTTACCTAAACATTTTGACTGGTGTCTCGAAAATGTTTTGGCGAAGGTCCCACCCTCACACGCATAAAAAGCTTTAAAGCAAGTGAACGAAAGCAAATGTGTTAAATCAATTTTAGTTAAACGACCGCTTTGGAATGTCAAAAAAGAACAAAAAATTCTCAAAAAAGTCTTGATTCTCTCATCGAGAACACGAAGAAGAGATTGAGTGAAAAAGAATGGACTAAAGAACTTCATAAACAATCTGTGATTAATGAATAGCAGAATAATCTTTCCGTTGCTGTGCAACTAATTCATCAACTACACGCTGATAGCGGCGCTAATTTTCGAAATGATTGATTTGATACTTTGTTTGTTGGTGATTTATAATTTTTTAAATTAACTTTTTCATTGCACAGCGGAAATATGTTTGATTTGTATTGGATTTTGCAGTTGCGCTAGATGAATATGCTGACAACATTAAAGATGTTGATGTGAAAAACACTTGTTGATAAAGAACAGACAGGTTCGAAATTTTGTGATGAACGACAAAGAAACTGTAGATGATGGAGAGCAAGAAATAAAATTTCGAATCTGGTAGGCGTCATAAAAATGAAAAACTTTCAACATGGAGTCAGACTTACTGGTAATGGAAAAGAAAAGTCTGATGATCAAATTATAGCGATTGCTCGAACATAGTGTGTCACTATATATCGTATATGTCGGAGAATGTTGGAGAGTTAGACGGCAGTAATGTTCACTGACATTTGATGTTGACCATTCATGAAGACCATTCATGAATTCGTTATTGCGCATGCTCTGACAATAATGATGACTGTGACCTCCGGAAAAAATAAGAAACTGACAAACCTCTGTAGTCTTCCCAGCCTGGCATACCTGTTCTTGACATTGATACCTTGCCAGCTGGAGAGGAAGAATTCGCAGATATTGAATCCTGGAAGAATGCATGTGAGCATGTCTATGCTTGCACAGACGCGACAGACTTGTTCCAATGTAAAAACGGCTACATAATGAGAGAATGAGGATCGTTCTGAGTCAATGAGGACATTGAAGGTGTTTTGCCGTTGGAACAGTTCCTGACAGACATCTTCCAGCGGCCAGTGTGGAGGAAGCCACTCGTGATTCCGATGATGCAGTTCCAGAGAAAAATAGCCCGCATGCAGCTCCAACACATTTATTTAGTACGTATTAAAATTCTGGATGGGCCTGCGCAATTAGCTAGAGGAAAGGAATGTTGAAGATAAAGAAAATACTGATAACAAGGAATAGGCAGATAGATCTTGTATTTTTAACGCTAAATACTAAGAACACTAAGCAAATATCATTCCTAGCCAGGGGGTTACCAGAATACCAATACACTCGAGAATACTGGCCATGGCTCAAAATACCAGGATACTTAAAATTCCAGGTTACGTCAGTCTGCCTGAGTGCTTAATCTTGGGTAAATGTAGGATATTTTCTGCCAGGATTGCAACTTATTTAAACAATAAAATACTAGTCTAGCTATACAAAAAGTGAAATGGTCTAAATAGCAATATACCTGAAACCCTTGGTCGGGCTTGAAATGTAGAATATAATACCGGCTTCAATAAAGTGACAAGACAAAGAAAGTTGGTTCTAGTGTCTGGAGCAATAGACGTTTTGGATATGGAGAGAGAATTATAATTTGCAAAAAGACGTGATCAAAGATAGCCTGGCAGTGAAGGGTAAAGAACACCTCAAGCAAGTGATTATTTAGCGGAATAAAGCACCTCGAGAACCCCTATATATAGTAAGTGGCAATTCAACTAGGAGAAATGATGTGGATTTGAGAAATGGGAATAAGATATTGTGGACGGCTAGAGGAAATAAAGACGCTGTTAAATCTCCACATCTATGTGATATAGGACGCGCTAAAAATGCACATGATGAGACTTTCAGACTGATTTAGGTCATCAAAGCATCTATACATGCACAACAGGTGAGAGAGAGAGATCCAGTCTCTTATGGCTGGCTGATCCACTGACTGGAATGTTGGTGGAAATCCTAGGACCACAAAAGATTGGAAGCATTCTATAAGGAGAGTAAGTGCTGCATCGACTCATTAATTTGCGGCGGAGAAGCATTGACGGAGAGTACGGAAGCCAGCCTAGACGTAGGGCATTTACTCGGGAAGCGGTACTTGATTTGCAGATCTTCTCACGTGAAAAAGCGATGAAATAGAAGGCCGAATGATATTTGGAAGAGCTAAGGGCAAGCTGGAGACGAACTTTCGTCATTTTGTAATGAGAAGATTTACTAGTTATTATTGTTCTAATAACGTAAACATAAAATGAGACAGATAATTAACCAAACATTTAAATTATGTATGCGAGCGAACTGTGTGGCAACGGACATACTGCAATTGGGATAGCTCATTGCGTCAGAGTTCCCTATAGAATTTAGAGTATAAGGAGGCTTTTTGAAAGACATAGGCGGTTATGTGGTGCCGAAAGTACCACTCCTTTGAGGACGGGTTAGGAGGGAGGGGGAGGTTTCGAGGGCGTCTCCCCATGAAGATTTTGTACTACAGACCTCTTCAAATGGCATTTCCGGTAATATTGAAGAGTAGTTTTGGACATTTTGTCTCGTTATCCAAATACTTAACGAAGAATATATGTTTATTTTGTGTGTGTTGGTGTTACAGTATGTACTAAGGTGAATATGATGTTTGTGATGACAGTGATGTTACTCTGAGTGTGCATCCACACCGGGCAAGCTGAAAAGTTCTCTTGACCACGGTGGGAATCGAACCCGCGACCTTTGGGATACTAGTCCAATGCTCTGCCAACTGAGCTACGTGGTCAAGTCGGTTCGAGTTGATGATACTTCGGAACTGTAAAAATTATGTCATCCAAACTAGAAACTTTTCCCTTAACATTTTTGTCAAGGAAATTATTTTTGATTTTGAAAAAAAATATTTGGCATTTTGAATTTTGTACAGAGTATAAAAGGGGATAAGTACACTCAAGACGCGAGGGACGATAACTCACTGCGCAAAACCTGTTGGCCGAAAAAAGCATCAAAAAGTACCTGTAGAAGAATTTTACAGAAACACGGGATATGCTCAGCATTGTCAACAATTTTCTTCCGTTAAAAGCTGGTTTACAGTTTCTGTAGGGATTTCGCAAACGTTTGAGGGAATTGAGAGTGTTTAACACTGGTGAGTTCCCTCGAACATTTCTTACAAATCCTTCAAACTTGGCATGTACCTATGCAAAATACCTACTGTCGTCACAGGGACTTTGATAGTGTAAACCAGGCTGAAATCTAGCATAACCATTCGTCGGATTTCAGCAAATTTATTGCCTCGTTTATAGTGGGGTGCACCGTGCACATTTTATGTAGAACTGCGCGTTAAAAATTTCCTTGTTGGCCAACACCGTTGATATCCTTTTTGGACTGGATTTTCTCTCTTGGCATTACTGACTTGTGACAAGGGAATCTAGCCTGTGTTCCAGTTCACTACACTGTTGGGTGTGCACACAGTAGACTGGAACACAGGCTATCAAAAGCCCTGATCAGTTTACATTTTCATGTCACGCAGTCACGAAATATAAGTGGTTAGGAGGTTAGGGATTGGATCATAGAAATATTAGACCTAATGATAGATGTCTAATATTTATATGGATTGGATTAGGTTTCGTGATTGCGTGAAATGAAAAGCCCTGATCACGTCTCACTCACTGTCCTCCTTCAAAACATGTTTATTATTCTATGTAGACGGATTTTGTAGATGGAAATTTCGAGTGTTAATTATTATTTATAACAAATGATGATGCCCAAAATATTTACTCATTCATCCTATTATTATATGTAATAAGCTAGTTTTCACATGGACTAAATTGTTGGGTATTTTTGGCCAATCAACTTGAAAAAATTATATCGAGCCTTGTTAACCTAATTTCATTTATTTCAGGGCTAAACCAATAAGTAATTAAAGTCAAAAGCACTTATCAAATCTAACGAATGTATACATCAGTATATTAATATATTTTAAACAGTTATATTCATAATATTAGCATATTAGTTTAATCACTCTTCAAATATAATAACATCTTGGAACAACATTATGAGTAAATTAGTAAAACTAAGATATCTAGTTTCTATGTATTGAACTAGTCTGAATCTTCATCAGAGTCATCGCCACCACGGATGATTTTCTTTTGCTGTTGGAATAACTTTTTAGTTGAGTTTGGATTTTTAAAGTTAGGAGGTTGACTAATATCTCCGCTGTAGTCAATCACACCTGCACATGCAATTCTCCATTCTAACATTTCACATGGAAAATCATCACTGCCTCCGAGATCATCAAAACCAACAATAAAATCAACAGTTTTGGAATCTTTAATGAGGGCAATGGTCGGTAAAACCACAACTCGAAGCCGCTTCACAAGGAATGGACTCTTTTCAGCATCAATTTTTATAAACTTCGCTTCTATATGTTTTGGGGCCAGAGTTGCGAGATGTTTATCCACAATCTTACATCTCCATGTACTATCACGATAGAAATGACAGATGACTTTATCACTTTCTTTACAAGCTGAGAAGAAATCTTTTTCCTCAGCTACTGCCGTGTATTCCCCATGGCCTTTCTGTCGCAATTCTTGTTTTAATTCTTGCTGCTTTTT